AAATATAATATAATTTATAATAATATAAATATAATAAATATTATTATATTAAATTATATTATAATTAAATATAATATAATTTTAAATATAATTTAAATTATTAATTAAATTTATTAAATTATATCATATTTATATTATTAATATTAACAAATTTAAAATTAATTTAAATTATTAATTATAATATAAATTAAAATTAATTTGAAATATAAACTAAAATTATATTTTTAAATAATTTTAAAAATACTAAAATTATTTATTTATTTAAATAATAATAATAATTTATTATTACACGTATATCTATATATACACATTTAATTAATTATGCTTCAATTTATCTCCAACAAACAAACAAAAATAAAATAAAAAAAGAAATAATGTTAATAGTGTCCACTTACAGGTGAAGAAATGAAATAAGAAAATTACAGGTAACGAAAGTGCATTTAAACAAAAGCAAAAGTTATTGTTTTATTTTCATTTCTTTTTTTTTTTTTTTTTTTTAAAGAAATAGAACACATTATTTCGGCAAAGTGAAGTTCTATTATTGAACTAGACAATGAACATAACTAACTCTGTGATCTATGGGAAATTAACTCGACTCATTAACGGAACAAAGAAAGGAAAGAAAAAGAAAGAAATGGAATAAGAATGAGAAGAAGAAAAAAAAAGAAGAAAGAATAGGTTCGACTAGGTGTTTAGTTTGAGAAAATTTTTCCGCAAAACTCTAAAACGATCTTTCGCAACGTTCACCATTTCTTTTTCTTTAAGTTTGCCTACTACTCGTAGAATTCTTCCACCTATTTCTAGAAGTGTCGAAGGAAAACAATGGAAAGGTAAAAAAGGAGAGAAAACTTTTTCCATCCTCTTTCGTCCTTCACCACCCTCGTCGCCATTTCTTTTCTTTCGTTGAGATTGTTCGCACGGATGTATATGTATGTATGTATGTATATGTATGTGTATGTGTGTGTTTTCTAGCTCGTGGCATTTTACTATTCGAAGGTAAAAGAAAAAACGTGAGATGTAATAAAATGGGCCCTGTGATTATTCTTTCGAAAAATTCTTAACACATAAAGTGGCGTTTGGGTAAGGGTTGGGGGTGAGTTTTTATCCAATTCAGAAAAGTAGTTTGTACGAAAAACATTTTTTCCATTAACGAGGCATATTTCAACGCTAAACACCCTACTCTTACCACCATTAAATTTTAACAAGATTTACGTCACGTAATTTGCAAAAAAAAAAAAAAAATACAAAATAAAAATACAAAATGCAGTAAAAATGTTAGAGAATTTACATTATTTATTAATAAATCAAAAAAAAAAAAAATAAAAACCAAAAAATTATTTTCTTCATTTTACTTACTCAATTTACTTAAAAATCTCGTTTTGTATTAGAATGTATTTTTTATGAGGGTTCAGTTTTGAAATATTTGCAATTATGTTGCATCACTTTAAATAAAAAAAAAAAAAAAAAGATTTAATTGAACTTTACAATAAATGTGTGTTGTATATATAGAATATATATATATATATATATAACATTCTATATATATTATAATTATATATAGTATATATATAATAATTAATTCTGACGATAATGTGTTAAAATTATTTAAGATTTGCAATAATAATGAAATAATTTGCAATAATAAAACAATAATGTTTCTTTGACTTTTCCCTATCATTTTCATTTTAAATTCATTTGTAAATTTTATTTAATTCTTTAATAATTTTGTCTTTTTTTATACACCACATATATCTTTTTTTTTTGAAGATAAATATTTTACAACATAACCGGTATTATAAAAATTAAAATTCATGTAACACATAATCCATGTAATATATAATATTTATGTCATTTGCAAGCAGAAATTAGGTTTGTGTGTATACACATATATGTATATATAGGGTTGTTAGTTAAAATATTTATTTTTATAACAAAATTATTTAACGACAACGTTTGTGCTCGTGCATGAAACGTGACTGCCGAGTATTACGAAAATATCCAATTAAGAAACAACGAATAACTAATAATAATAATAATATTAATAATAATAATAATAATAATAATAATAATAAATAAATAAATAATAATAAATAATAATTACAAAAGTTAGAAACAAATTGTAGCAAACAAAAATTCTAATAAGAGAAAGAGTAAGAGAGAAATAGAAAAAGAGAGAAAGAGTAAAAAGCTCGAATGACAATCGATGAAAGATAGAAAAATAGAAAAGAAATGAATTATAATAATAATAATAATAATAATAATAATAATAATAATAATAATAATAATAATATAAAAAAGATCATTGTTTTTACAAGCATATTATTTATCAATAAGAAAAATTGAAATACAATTTTGCTTACCCTTCGTGAGAGAGTGGCGATTGTGTGCAGAACTGGTCCTTTGGTTAATTTCCTCAGAAGCGGCTCCAGCTGTAACATCAAACAAAATAAATAATTATTATTTATTATTAATTATTATCATATTATAAATAATTATCGACAATTTTTATTTATTGTTTTATTGTTTATTATTATTMTATGTTATTAATGCTGCATATTTTTTCAGTTGTCACTTTAGTTTTATTGCCTTGTTTAACACGTTCACGCCAACGCGTACCACCGGTGGCCCGCGTTTAACTGTCCCACCGGGCGGCGTGTACCACCGGTGGCTCGCGCTAGTCTATCCCATCGGGCGGCGCGTACCACCGGTGGTCCACCTTGGTCCAGATTTGAACAAGCAAAAATCACGCGCCGCCAGATGAAACGCATCTTAAATTCCAGTGCCGTCCCACAGCGCAGACACTGAAAATCGGCGCCGACGTCAACGTGTTAAATTCTTAAAGCATTACACGTCGAATATGCACTTTTTACTTAACCATTTCAGTGGTTAAGAAAAATGATTAAATGTAACATTGACTGCATAAAAAAGTTGACAAGAGACTAACTGAATCCTCATCTATGTAGTGATATTGAAAATCCGTTTGTTTCGATGACTTATATTAGGTAAATACGAAAAATAGATTCTACATAGCCGCATCGGATGTTACACTTATGACTCGACCTAATATAATAATGATAATAAAGTTGATCAATATTTTATATAAAAGTATGATATATAAAAATTTTTGTTGTATCACCAAAATAAGAAGTAGTATATACTATATATATATATCACGTTAGAAAATGAATTCTTTGTCACGGATACTCGAGTACGCCATATTATCTTCAAAGGAAAGGATGATCGTTAGTTTCGGTGCAATGAATATGCAATTTTAGTTGTTATTATTATTACATGTCCATAAGGATCATACCAATTGCAAAAAGTTATACTTGAGTCTTAAAAAAAAAAGACTTAAGAAAAGAGTTTCGTAATAAATTCCAAGAAGATTTGATGATATCAGTTAACCAATCGTAAAGCTTTAATTATCCTAACCTTTATTTAGGATGAAACAATCGTTGCAATTTACATTAAATATTAATATAACGATCTTTTACTTTACAACATTTCTTGGAATGGAGAAAGTAAGAGAAAATAAAATTGAGAAAAGAGAATAAAAGTTAAAAAGAAAGGTAATTTGTAATAAAACGCATAAAAACGCAACATTGCGAAACACAAATGTCCGATAATTCCAGTTTTGCTAAGCTCTCTTTAACGTGGAAAGTTACTAGATAGGTAGATAGGTTGGTACCTAGGAAAAGGAAGAAAAGAAAACTTTTCCTTGAAATTTTTTCTCTTCCCTTTACGAACGAACAAAAAAAAAAAAAGAAAGAAAAAATACAACGAGTCTAACATAGCATTGGGCAGCATACATAACCTAACTTTCGTTTCTACGAACAGTTCTCGCATCGTTTCGTATTTACGAATGAATGTATTGTATGTATGTATGTATTCTTTTATATCGAAAATTAACATAAACTCATTGTAGTTTATAATTTTTAACGTGTAATAGAATTGATATTTTTATTTGTTGTAAAATCTCATAAATGTGATTACATATATATATATATATATATAAATAGTTGTATGTGTTTTATGTAATCCATGATAAAATTTCAAATGGTGGTATGTCCTGTAATTTGTAAAAAAAAAAGATATAATAATGTATTGTTTGTTTATTCAATTAAATAAAATCCTCATTCTATTATTTTTATATATTTGAAATATTAATGTGTAAGAGTATACCTAATTTTCCAACTTTCACCTACGTATTTGGAATGTGGTTAACATTCAACGTACGAATCACGACATTCTCTAATTTCTATCTTTCACTGTAACATATATACATGTATCTTTATATAACAAATATATAATATATATATATATATATAGAAATTAATATTTTTATAATACATATATATATTAATTTGTATTATATTATATTATTATTATATTTTATAATTTATTTATTATATATTAAATTGATATGATATTTTATATTTATATTTAAATATTATAATTCATATTATAATTATAATAATAATAATATATATATATTCTTTTTATTTGTAATATAATTTTTTTAAAAGAATTCAATCAAAAACGTATTGAATAAAATTAGAGATAGATAGATAGATAGATAGATATAATTATTATCTAAGAAAATAAGGAAAGATTTTAGGATTAATTATTCAAGGATATAGGAGAACGATAAAGAGCTCTGTCAAAGACGTTAATGATAATAGTGATGATAAGTGAAGAATATAGAGATCGATCGAGAAGAAAAGCTTTATTTCGTAATTCCCTTTCCCTTCCTTACCTTCCCTTCTCGTTTTCCTAGCTAATAGCTCGTTTTATAGGTGGCTCCTTCGAGACGGGGATCTAGCATTATCACTATAACGTAAAAGAGAACCCCCTTACCTATCTACCTATCTACCTACCCTAACTGAAAATCTACGCTATTAAAACGTCACTGACGAGTAACATCGTATCGAGTTAATGGGAATGGAAAAAGCTTGCGACACGATGAATATCAAATTGTAATTTTGTGACAAGAAACAACAGTAGCTGTCACGAAAAGATAAGGAAGAGGAGGAGAAGAAGAAGGAGGAGAAGAAGAAGGAGAAGAAGGAGGAGGAATCTTTGACAAATGTATTTCAAAATTCATTTTAAAAACTTTATTTCAACCCTTGCCCTACCCCCATCCTATTAACGTCAATAATTTTATGGATACAAATATATAAGGATACGTCATTGCATTTGAGTTATGATAAATTTGATAAACTGTTAAAATAAATAATAGTGTTTAAAATGTTTAAATAAATAAATCAATCAATCAATCAAAAAATAAAAGAAATGTAATATTTCTTCTAAACAATATATTGTTGTAAATAATAATTATATTTATTAATTTGAAATAATATTATTTAATTATATAATTTATATATATTTATATATATTTAATTATATAATTTAATAATAATATTATTAAATATAATAATATTTAATTTTTAATATTAATATAATATTTCAATATTAATATTAATTATATTAAATTAATTAATTAAAATTAAATTAAATAATTACAAACAAAAATTATAATTTAATTTAATATTAATGTTATTATTTGCATCAATAAAATATTTTAATATTAATATTAAATATAATAATTAATTTTTAAACTTATTTATATACATTTTTTTAATATAATTAATAATTTTAAATAATAGTTATATTCCAATTAGAATAATAATTTATTTAATATGCCAACCATGTGCAATCTATATTTAAAAACCTCACACCCATGCAAGGATCAATCCAAAAAATTTTTAAATTACCAACAAATCTTCGTACAATCTTTGATTCATTTATAACTCCTTAATAAATATTCTTAAATAAATCATAAATTTATAAAAAAAAAACATCCCCCAAATATAACTAGATATCCCCTATTTATTTGTATTCGTAAGAGTGTTTTTTTCTTTGAACGTATATCAAAAGTCATCTGGATACAGTTGAAATAATAATAATAATAATAATTAAAAAAAAATAAAAAAAAACTTTCTCTTGTGTTCCACAGGAGGATGAGCAGATAAAAAAAACATAAAAAAAAAAAAAAATAAAAAAAAGAAGAAAAAACAAAAAAAGAAAATGGGTCAGGATGAAAGCAGCACGTTCTTGCGTCTCATCGATGAGTTTTCTCGTCACAGAGAGAGAGAAAGAGAGAGAGAAAGAGAGAGAGAGAGAAAGAGAGAGAGAAAGAGAGAGAGAGAGAGAGAGAGAGAGAGTGAGAGAGAGAAAGGGAGATAAAAATAAAGGATCTACCTAGAGGATTCCAAACTAACGCTATGCTGAAAGAAACGAAAATGAAAAAAAAAAAGAGAGAGAGAGAAAAAAAAAGAAAAGAAGTAAAAAAAAAAGGAAAGAAAAACGGGGGTAAAAAAAAGTGAAAAATGTACGTGCATTTCTCTCTCTCTCTCTCTCTTTTTTTCTCATACACATGCACATACAAATACACGCATACTTTTCTCATGGACTCACTTGAATTTTTTCGAAACAAAAGCAGGCTTATCCAACGGTCTAACGGAAGTAAACCACCCCCCCCTCCTCTCTTTCCATCGTAACGGACCGAATCCACCCCATTTCGCACTCCGCTCAACTCATCAATGCATCTGTGTGTATGTGTGTACATATTCAAGAGGAATAACTAAAATCTGTATATGTATATAAGTATATAACTGTATGTATGTATGTGTAACTAGTCAAATATACGTTCGCGATAACATATCTCTCTCTCTCTCTCTCTTTTTTTTTCCTGAGTAAAAGGAGAGCTTCCTGCCGGCATGCAGCAGCAGCAGCAGAAGCAGCAGAAGCAGAAGCACCATGTGCACACGGCAATATTCGCGGATTTCCTTTAAATGACTAGCAAATCTCTAGGGTAAAAAAAAAAGAGAGAGAGAGAGAGAGAGGAATGTTAAAAAAAAAAAAGTTACTACCTATCGAAAAAAAGAGTAGTAATAATAATAATAGTAGTAGTAGTAGTAGTGGTAGTAGTTACATCTGCCGACCGTATTTCGCATTTGGATTACCATTACCACGTAAAGAACAGGTGTGCACACCTGCAGTAAGGATTTACGTGATATCGAGTTTAAGAATATTAAACGTGTACGTGTGAAACGTATAAGATGGAGTATATCATTCCCGTGTTTATTATCTACAATCTATGGAATATTAAAATGATATCTTTTCGTTTTACATTTGTACTTGTCAAATGATATTCCTACTGTATTTTATAAATAGAAGGAGTATATAAATCATTTTTTTTATTTTTTTTTTTTNTCTTTTTAATATGATATTTTACTACTGTATATTCTATAAATAGAACGAATATAAATACAAGGAATGTGTAAATAATTTTTTTAAAAAAAAAAAAAAAATAAATAAAAAAAATAAAAAGTAGTAATCTTTTTAATATGATATTTTACTGTATATT